GTGCCCAGTCTTCTCTACAGCTCAGGACTCTTTCCAAGAATTCTTTATAGGCCAAATAAGTACTTCACATGGTCTTAACGTCACAGGGTTTCGCATTCGAAAGCTCCTATAGGTTATAGAGATAACTAATTAAATTAATTACCACTAGCTATAATCGAACCGTTGACCTCATCTGTGGAGGGTTAGGTGCCTAGACTACTAGGCTATGAGACCCTAACCCGATCTTCAGATATATTAAAGATGAAGTTCACAATACATGAATGCTTTGGCGTCCTTTGAACTATTAAACACATCAATTACTTTATTTTACACAAGTTGTATTGCAGGAGCATTGTCTCTTGGCCTTATAATAACATCAAATGAACTAGAAATTACCCTTGAAAAAGGAATAATTATGCTAAAATCACTTCTTCCACAATGTGCGTTTTTTGGCTATGGGCCTGATGTTGGTCCAATATCTTTTCTTATAGATGATTCAAACTCTGAACATAATACATTAGAGCGTTGCTGGCCAAATTCAAATCAACTATTGTGTGTATTTCATGTTCTTCAAGCCTTTTGGCATTGGTTACATAACTCTAAACATAATATAAATAAAGACCACAAAATGTCTATAATGAATATTATGAAAAGAATATTATATTCATATACTGAAGATGAAATAGTAAAATATTATAATAACTTTATAATATTTACCCACAATTGCAAAAGCACTTTGAATAACTTTGGAATTGACAAAAATTTTGGGCAGTATTATTTTGCTTTGAACTTCTTTTGCAAGATAATAATACCAATAATTATATCGAGCGTAGTTTTAGATTGCTAAAGGATATTATTTTCTCATGTACCCAGGCATATAACTGTGTTCAAGTATTTAAATTCATTATTACAAGTATGGAGCGATATTATGAACGTCGACTACTTTGAATAGCCCACTCACATCCTGGCCATATAAAAATCACTAGAAGATTTTTATGTCCTGGTTGGGATGCAATTGATGCAGTAGAAATTCGACCAACTAAAATAAGTGCAGAATATTTAGTTCTTAGTCAAAAAAAAGGAACTAGATTATTTTATACTGTTAATACGGAATTATGTACATGTACATGTTTTATTAGGCTTTCCGGAGCACCATGTAAACATCAAAGTGCAGTGGCTGCAAAATATAATATAGAGTCTCTAAATTTTTTCCATCTTTATCACCAAACGATCATGCTTGGTTTTCATATATCGTGTATGGTAAGTGTCGCGGTGTTTCTTAATGCCCCATGTACTTGTAGCGGTACCCATGTGACTGGTGATCGGGTACGTGATCG